CAGGCATAAAACAACAACCACTGGATCTGCCGCTGGTTCAACTTTCTCGCCGTGGACAAGTGTTCCAAATTCCAATGGTCCATCTGGACCTCCACCTTGTGTCGGGCCCCCTCAAGATGATGTCGCCAAGTCTCAAACGCAGCCTTGATAGCCAGCAACTCTTTTTCCCAGATGGTGTAATTGCGTTCGGAAGGAGTGAGTTTCCAGGAATAGTAAGTGCAGGGAAAAAGAGTTGCGTTATCTGCCGGGGCTTGCAACAACACAGCCCCAATAGCCACGTTGGATGCATCCACCACAAAAGGACGTTGGATGCATCCACCACAAAAGGACGATGTGGATCAGGATGCCTCAGGACAGGTTCTTCAATGAAGGCCTTTTTGAGGGCCTCAAAAGCCTGTTGCTGCAGGGGCCCCCACTGGAATGGGACCTTCTTTCGAAGGAGCTGTGTTATTGGACCCGTCAGCTTGGCAAAACCCAGGATGAAGGTCAGGTAATAGTTAGCGAACCCCAAGAGGCATTGAAAATCCTTCATGCGACGAGGGGGTTCCCAACTACACAAGGCCTCTACTTTACGCGGGTCCATGGTGATGCCTTCGGGACAGATGATGTGCCCCAGGAACTCTATGGAAGTATGGAAGAAGAGGCATTTCTCCAGCTTCGCATAGAGTTGATGCTCCCGAAGACATTGCAAGACCAGACGAATGTGTTGAAGGTGACTGTCCCTGGACCTGGAATAAATCAGAATATCGGTCAGGTACACCACCACGAACCGATCTAACATGTCCCAAAAACACGTCGTTCATCAGGTGCTGGAAGACCGTGGGGGCGTTGGTCAACCCAAACAGCATCACAGTGTACTCAAAATGGCCATATTGGGTGCCAAATGCGGTCTTCCATTTGTCCCCCTCTCGAATCAGCACCAGGTTGTAGGCCCCTCAAAGATCTAGCTGGGTGAAGAAAGTGGCCTCCCGCAACCTCTCCAACAACTCCGGAATGAGCGGCAAGGGGTAGCTATTCCGCATCGTGATGGCGTTCAACCGGCGGTAATCACAGCACAAGCATAAGTCTCCCGTCTTCTTCTTGATGAAAAGAACGGGAGCTGAGAGAGGGGACGATGACGGCCGGATAAACCCTCGGGCCAAGTTCTTGTCCAAAAAGTAATGTAGGGTGGCTAACTCGGGCTCAGACATCGAATAGAAACGTCCCTTGGGGAGTGGTACATCGGGCAGAAGGTCCACCGGGCAATCATAGGGCCGATGTGGGGGTAACCGGTCCGCCTCCTTCTCACTAAACATATCTGAGAAGTCCGACAGTTCAGGAGGTATGGAGACGGCAGAGGTGGTGAT